GAACCCGGGAGGCAGAGCTTGTACTGAACCAAGATTGTGCCACTGCACCCCAGATGGGGCAATAGAGCGAGACTCCTTCTAAAAGGAAAGAGGAAAGAAAAAAAGAAAGAAAGAGGGGGAGAGAGAGAGGGAGAAAGAAAGGAAGGAAGAGAAAGAAGGAAAGAAAGAGAAAGAGAGAAGAAAGAAAGAAGGAAGGAAGGAAGGAAGGAAGGAAGGAAGGAAGGAAGGAAGGAAGGAAGGAAGGAGGGAAGGAAAATTAAAAAGCTGTCTTCCAAGGAGTCTGTACAGTTTTTCATTTCCACCAGAAAAGAATGAGAGTTCCTGTGACTCTGCATTCTTCTCAGTATTACGTATTATCAGATTTTTAGATTTTAGCAATTTTAATAAGTAATGGCTCCTAATTGTTTTGATTTGCAATGTTCTAGTAACAAATGATGTTGACCATCTTTGTTTTCTATCTGTATATCTTCTTTGATGAGATGTCTATTTAAATCTTCTGCCAACTTTCAAATGTGGTTGTTTTCTTTTAGTTGAGTTTTCAATGTTTATTGTATATTTTGGATACAAACCTTTTATCATATGCATGTCTTGCAAATTTTCTCCCAGTCTATTACATTTTTTAAATTATCCTAGCAGTGACTTCCACAGAGCTGAAGTTTTTAATTTTGGTAACATCTAAGCTTTCACAGAATCTTTTTGTGGTTGTATCTGAAATCTTATGGTCAAATTCAAGGTCACCTAAATTTTCTCCTATATTTGTAGTTTTGCATTTAAAACTATGTTATATTTTAAGTTTATTTTTTGTGAAGCTCTGAAGTTCGCGTGTCCAGGTCATTTTTTTAATGTGTGTGCAGAAGGATATCCATTGTTGCAGCACCACTTATTGCATTTATTGCAAAGACTATTCCTTTGCTATTGAATTGCATTGTGCTCCTTTGTCAAAGATCAGTTGATTATATTTGTATGAGGCCTATTTCTGGACCCACTAGTTCCATTGAATTATGTGTGAATTATTTAGTCAATACCACACTGTCTTGACACTATGCCTTTATAGTAAGTCTTAAAATCGGGTAGTATGCATCCTCCAACTTTATGTTTTTTCAGTATGTATTGAGTATTTCAGGTTTTTTGACTTTTCATGTAAACTTTATATATCTGTTTGTTGATATCTAAAAAGAGTATTTTTCTAAAAGATTGGGATTGCATTGAATATATTCATCAAATAGGAAAGAATTAACATCTTAACAATATTTAATGAAGTAATGTTGAACTTGATCACGTTTTATTTAGATCTCCTGTGATTTCTTTTATCAGAATTTTGTAGTTTTTCACATGTGGTAAAAGACATGTAGTTTATTTAAAAATTTTGTCAGATTTGTATCTCAGTATTTATTTTCATGTCTGTGCTATTGTAAATGGCATTTTTAGAAACTAATGTTTCTTACTGCTCACTGCAAAGGATGAATTTCATAGTAAATAGCTAACTTGTATATTGACCTTGTTTTCTGAGATCTTATACTTACTATTAGATTTTTAAAAACTTCTTGTTTGTGCAAATTCCTTGAGATTTGTTACATAGATAATAATATAAACTCGGCATGGATAGTTCTAATTCTTCCTTTTTTATCTTTTTATTTCTTTCCTTGTCTTACTGCACTAGTTAAGACTTTTAGTATGATGCTGAGTAGAAATGATGAGAGAAGTTATCTTTGCCTTGTTCCCAGTCTTAGGAGAAAAGCTTCCAGTCTCTCAACATTAAGTATGATTCCACCTGAGGATTTTTGTAGGTGTCTTCATCAAATACAGGGAGTTCCCATCCTCTCTACTTCTAATTTGCTAATACTTTTTATTATGAATAGGTTTCATGTTTTTTCAAATGCTTTTTCTATATCTATTGATATAATTATTTAATTTTCTTCTTTATTAGTCTTTAATGTGGTAGATAAAACTGACTTCTGGATGTAGAACAGCCTTGCATACCTGGAGTAATTCCTTCTTGATCATGGTGTAGAATTATTTTTATATGTTATTTTTTGATTTGTTAATATTTTATTGAAAAACTTTGTGTTCATGTGAAATTTTCGTCTGTATTCATAATCTTTAGTTTTCTTTTCTGTAAGGACTTTAGCTAGATTTAAAATTAGAGTAACACTGTCTTCATGAAAAATGTTAGGAAACATTCTCGTTTTTTTCTACTTCCTGACAGAGATTGTGGAAAATTTGTACAATTTCTTCTTAAACATTTGATGTAATTCAGCAATGAAACCATTCAAATACTATGGTTTCTTCTTTGAAAACTTATTAGTTATTGATTGCCATATTTTGTTTTATGTGTTAACTTTCCTAGATCGGAGGATCCAGATATCTGTTTAGACAATATTTCTGAGTGTCTCTGTCATGTATTTATGGGAGAAATTAGCATTTTTTATCAATAGACATAGTAAACTTGATTGCCCTTCTCTATGTGCGATATCAACTAATTCAGTGAGGGTCTGAATAGAACAAAAAGGTGAAGGACAGGAGAATTCACTCTTTCTCTGCCTGATTGATTGAGCTGGAATATCTATCCTTCTCCATTCTTTGAAACTCCAGGCCTCCAAACTGGGACTAAAATTACACCATTGACTCTTTGACTTTCAGGTCTTCAGACTACACCAACTGGGTCTCCAGGTTTCAGAGGATATATTTTATTGATTTTATATCTCTGAATAACCCTGATTAAAACATATATTGGTACTGGGGTGGTTTTATAGAAACAGAATTTTATAAATAAGTTTCCCAGATTGATGCTATAGATTTTGGAATAAACTGTCTAATCTGATTGGACATAAAGGTTTAGATGATTCTATTTCTAGTAGTAAAGAGAGCACCAAGGTCCATGACATAATCTGGTAATAGAGATACACAAACAATCTGCCTTGGATACCACTTATAAAAAGCAAGGAACTGAATGGCTGTGTAAATGATGCTTTTGAACAGTTTTGGAAAACTAACAAATATAATAAGGTTGGCTGTTTGCTCCTGATGTCACCGGACAAAGTGGTGAAGGAAAAGGATGAGCTTAAGATTTAAATTCCCAGAAGCATAAGTGACCTGCGGACTTATTGTCATCTGAAGATACTCTTATTTTTGGTATCCACTGAGTTGAGATTGCAGAAAGTGAAATGCAGAATCTCATCCTGTGAATGGCTGAATTATAACGGAAATTAAACTCCAAGCCTTTCAGAGTGTTCTTGTTAAAGCAAGAACATTTGTTGGGAGAGAATGGGGAAAGGGTTTCCAGAAGGCTGTGTATGTTCTGTATCAGCATCTGATATATGACAGTCAGCTTTCATGGGTCTAGGAATTACGGGGCGGAAATGGGAGTGAAAACCCTCACTACTACCACTAGTGACTCACTAGCAACATATTTATTTTCTTTTCCCAAACCTTGTGCTGTGCTGAGCTGGAGGTCTTAGTTGCAAAGGGAGGAGTCCTTCCGTTAGGAGACACAATAATGATTCCACTGAAATGGAAGATAAGACTCACCTGGCCACTTTGAACTCCTCATCCTTCTCAATCGATAGGCAAAGAAGGGAGTTAAAGTACTATCTGGGGTAATTGATCCTAATTACCAAGGGGAAATTGGACTGCTAGTCCATAATTGAAGGTAAGGTAAAATATGTCTAGAGTGTGGGTGATCCCTTGTAGTTTTGCTTAGTATTACCATGCCCTGTAATTAAGGTTAATAGGAAACAACAGCTCAATGAGGACAAGGTTGTTAATGATCATAGCCCTTCAGGAATAAAACATTGGGTAACCCCAAAAGACAAAAACCAGCTGAGGTGCTTGCCGAAGACAAAGGGAATACAGAATGGATAGTTGAATAAAGTAGTTATAAATAGTAGCTATGACTGCATGACCAGTTACAGCAATGATAATTTTAATTGTCACAAATATGATCTCCCCATTTTGTTATAAATGCATTTTTGGTTGTGTATATAATATAGTTGTTTTCTTTTCTCTCCTATTCTCTTATCATGTAACATAAGATATATTGGCTTTATATCATAGTATTTAAGTATGTAAGGAGATGAATATGTGCCACATTGACAATTAGTGGATTTGTGAAAGTCCCAGCTTTCATTTCTGATATTGGTAATTTTCTTCTTTGATTGCCATGCTAGCATGCAAGTCATGCAAGCATGAAAAATACTGCATTAAAAATAAAGACAGATGTAAAGCACAAAAAGAGCCTAAGTTATTCTTACACAACTGAGAAAAAAAAACAGAAGAATTTTTTCACAAAAGAAAAATGAAAGATAATGTAATTTTTAATTAAAGAAGACATCAAATATAAACAATGTGAATAAACTCAAACAATTGTAAAATTAATTGAACAGAGAATCAAAATGACAACATTACAGAGCTAATTAGATAGAAACCATAGGAAACAGATTAGACAGTGTGGATGATAAAATTAGTAACAGAAAAAGCCATGAGGTAGTCTCAGTGAAATAAAGGGGTAAAAAAATACTAGTCAGAAAGAAATTAATGTTAATGGTATACAGGAAATGTGGATCCAAAATAAAGGTAAATGATACACCTGCAATAAAAGTCCAACAAATGAAATTAAAAAGAATAATTATGTAGTAGAAGAAAATATTTCTAAAATGTAAAATAATACTCATAGATTTAAAGGCATACTGTTCTCAAGAAATTCATTAGAAGAACTGATTTTATGGCATTCTGGTAAAGTGATTGAATTTCAAGGATAAAGAAAGAATTCATCAGGTATCCAAGAACTTACAAAGGGGATAAATCTGGCTGGGCTCAAATGCCTCCATGGAAAAATAAAGTGCCAGAAGATAACAGAACAATATTTACAAAATTCTAATGGAACAAGTGTGTCTCAAGAATATTATAACCAGACAAGTTGTTATCCAAGTACAAAATGGCAGTACTGGCATACTTAATCATGCAAAAACTCACAGAATATGTCATTCCTTATTCTGTCTTAGAATGAAACTATGTAAGAGACAAATGAAGAAACCATTGTAAAAGAACTGAATGGAGCCTTGTTGCTGCTTCCTCAGAAGGGAAGGAACACCATGTCCTCACATGTAGAAGGTACAGAAGGGAAAAAACCCACACCCTCAAACACTTTTATAAGGGCCTGAATCCCTTCATCACCTTCTAAATACCCCATCTCTTAATATTATTACATTGTCTATTAAGTTTCAACAAAAAATTTGGGGTGTACCCAATTTGGTCATTGTTTGGATATTAGAACACAAAATTTAATGACTCAGTTTCTTACTATACGTAAGACATTATTATCACATTAATTTTGTTATTTTTATTACAATTGTAACAAAACCTAGGAACATTTGTATACAGAACTTAAACACAAAGACTTTCCAGATTTTGTCATTTAATCCCAAAATCTTACCACTTAAGGGAAGGTATCTTAATTACGGTTATCCCCAAACATATGCAAATGCAAAGATTGGAAGACCTAAGTAACGACTAAGTTGTGGAGCTGAGACTGAATTCTGGGTTTCAGACTATAACTTCCAAAACATTTCTGTTGCATAATGAGGTAAACAATATAGTTCCTAAACTGGAAGATTAAATGATTCCTTCATAGAGGAAATTAAAAAAAAATATATATATATATATAGAAGAAAACAGTTCCTAGTTATTTTGGAAATTGTATTATGTGTTGCAAAACAATGACAATAAATGTACTTAAATAAATCACCAACTTAATAACTCATCTTCAGTTGAATCCTTAGTTTTCTCATGCAAAGTCTAGTATTCCTACAGAGCCAGAACAGTGTACAAAGAACAAGACAGGGAGATAAAATTAATGCTAGCTTAGTTTTATATGAAGCATCAATTAGGAATATTAACTGTTCTCATGTTTAAATATTTGCTCTTGGCAAAATCCAAACAAGCTCACTATGTGTTAGATTAGTAGGTATAGAGTCAGCATGGTGGTAGATCTGGAGTGGAGCACGTGCATTTTGTAGATTCAAAGATGTTGTCAATTTTAAAAAATATCAATTGTCTATTAAATGTGGAGAGAATACCACTTTATTGAATGCACACCAAAATTTTAAGATGTCTTCCATTTTCAGAGCAATTTTTATAAAAAAGGATATGCTGAAGTTTATTCTACTACAGGCATGAAAGTTACCATGCAAACCAGAGATACATTTGTTCTTTGTGAAGAAGCTTCTGCCCATTTGTCCGTTTCAGTGTATCATTTAAACAGTACAGCCAGTGCTCAATAGCAGCGTCAGTTGAAGTCACCATCATGGCTACACAAATTGATTCCTTATGTGGGAAAAAAAAAAAAAAGGCCTCAAATGGCTGATGGACAATTAAATATCTTGGTTCCCATGTTATTTCCCTGGAACCTCAAGTAGATTTAGTCAGACCCTTGTTAATTGATAAATATGATTGAGGACTTTGCTATATCTTTTTTTCATCAAATGAGTACATTCGTCAGAAACATAAATAACACATTGTAGTGATGATTGCCTACATGGGGAGATTTTTAGCTTCAAGTAATGGATACACAACCCAAAGTGAACATTTATTCTATGAGAGAACACAAAGTACAGACGGAGCGTGGTTCCATTATTGATTCAGTATCTCAGTGACACGATCCATGTGCTAGGTGTTTTTTCATCTTTGCACTCTCTCCAACTCAGCCTGTCAGCCAAGTGTAAGTCCACATTTCCAAAAAGGCTGCAGCCTTTCCAGGTCTTTGCAGGGAGAAATGATCATGACCACATTCTCTGAAGGAGGAGAAGGGAACTTCCTCCCCTGAGTCTCATTTTATTAAGGAAAAAAAAATTTTTTTTTACATGCTCAGCCCTCAACCTGAAGACATTCACAATTCTTATTTTTCAGTAGCAATTAATTTTATTAGTTTGACAATAATTTATGATCATAAAACAATGCAATTCAAGAAATGACTAAAATATGTTAAAGAAAACATCATAATTATTCCTGGCACTTAGGTCTAATATTTCAAAACAGACTATTTCAGCAACTGATTTATAAAGTGCTAATATAAAAAAATCTCAAATATGTTTAATTTCACCCATAAACTATAAATTATGAATTACTATAAATTTTTGGTTAGCAAAAAAAGCCAAAATATTTTTCCTCATGCAACTTAGTTATAGTGATAATTAATTTGAAGAGCACTTATATAGACTGAATGTTGACGCAAGAAGTAGTTTTTGCATGAGCATTTTGAGCATTATCTTGGAATTAGAAGTAGTTTTAAGTCACTGTCTTCTGTGTGTTGGTTTCCTGCTGCCTCTGTAACAAATTACTGGAAACTTGGTGGCTTAAACAACAGAAAATTTATTCTTTCACAGTTCTGGATGTCATAAATCTGAAATCAGTATCAAGGGGTTTGGAGGGTGTGGCCATCAGGAAACTTCTACACAGATAACTCCTTATCCTTTAGATAATATTTCTAGTGGCCACCAACATTCACTGGCTTATGGTACATCAGTCTCACCTCCGCCTGTGTGATCACATCCCCTCTCCTTTTCTGTCTGTGTGGTCAAATTTCTTTCTGCTTCCCTCTTACACAGATACATGTGATTGTATTTAGAGTCCATCTGGCTAATACTGGATAATCTTTTAGGTCAAGATCTTTAACTTAATCACATGCAATGATTGATTTTTGTCTGATTTTTCATATAAGGTAATATTCAGAGTTTCAAGAAATCTAGATATGAATTTTTTCTGAAACGTTTTGGACCTACTGCACACTCATTCACTCATTCATTTATGTATTTAACAAATATTAAATGAACACCTGCAATGGAACGGACACTGTTCTAATGCAGGGTATATAACAGCAAACTAAAGAGACAAAGATTTTACTTTCTTGGAGTTTACATTCTAGAACAAACATTGGCAAACTGTTTCTGTAAAGGGCCAGATAGTAAATACTGTTTGTAGATCATACAGTTTCTCTGTTGCAACTACTGAACTCTCCTGTTATAGCATAGACACAGCTCCTCCTCTCTAAATCTATAAATAAATAGCTGTGGCTATATTCCCATAAACAATTATATATGAAAACAAGAAGCAAGCTAGATTTGGCTCTTGAGTTATAGTTGGCCAGCACTTTCTCTGGACAGAAGATATAGGAGAAAAAGTGACAGGCAAATACAGAATATGTCAGATGGTGATAAGTGATGTGGTTTTAAATAAAGCACATTCAGAGAAATAGGACATTCAAATGTGAAGGCTATAACTAACCGCTATAACAGATAAATCAAAAAATTTTAGTGGCTTCCCGAAGAGCCATTTTCTCAGTGTTTATGTGAAGTCCGATACTAAGATTACTTATTAGTGGGAAACCTTCCATGTGGTCATTCAGGAACCCACCCTCTTGCTTTCTTGCATCTGCCCTCCTGAGAACTCTAGAATCGTGTGTTCAGTTGGTGGTTGAAGAAAGGGAGTAGAGAACAGCACACAGGCATTTTAAGGAAGCAAGATTACAAGGTTTGGTCAATTCCACTCAGTTTATATGCATTTTCTTGTCTAACAGTTCAATTGCCTGACTTCACCTAACTTTAAGAAAAGCAAACTATGCAGTTGAGCTTTGTGTCCAGGGGCATTTAAAAAACAGTGTTGGGCCAGGCGCAGTGGCTCACACCTGTAACCCAGAACTTTGGGAGGCCGAGGCGGGCAGATCACTTGAGGTCAGGAGCTTGAGACCAGCCTGGCCAACATGGTGAAACCCCGTCTCTACTAAAAATACAAAAATTAGCCGGGCATAGTGCTGGGCACATGTAATCCCAGCTACTCAGGAGGCTGAGGCAGGAGAATCACTTGAACCCATGAGGTAGAGCTTTCAGTGAGCTGAGACTGCACCACTTCACTCCAGCCTGGGTGACAGAGCGAGACTCTCTCATACAAACAAACAAGCAGGATTGGAGATCACTGAGCAACATTTAATTCAGGAAGTGTTACTCTTGTAAGCAGGATAGCCAGAAAAAGTTTTCCTGGCCTTCCTGGGGAAAGTAGGAGGATAATGTGGCAGAGATTTGGTAGGGGGGGGTGTGTTCAAATATTTAGGCTAGCTTTGTTCTTCTGAATTTATCTCTTTGCAGATAGTTTAGTCATGAGACTGAGCAGTAGTTGGTGAAATGTGGGAAGGAAAAATACAGGCCATTTTCAGGTCAGACTCTTAAAACACACTGTACTCTTCTCCTTGCTTTCTCTCTCTCTTTTCTATGGGACCAAAATCAAGGACTTAATCTCTGCTTAGAAGACAGCTAACCAGAGGTCCTTCCATACACTCACTGGACTGTAATATTAGCAAAAAAAAAAAAAGACATTGTATTAAACTACTTAGGTTTGTAGTATATTTTGCAAACCAGTAAGTGTTATTTACCTTATATTCTAGTTCTATAGCTACCAGAGAGTAGAATGTTCCAGGCAGAGACCCTGAGTCTGGGTCAAGTTCAAGGATTCCAGGGTATAAGGAAAAGAGCTAGAGAAGGAGAGAGGTAAGAAATGAGGTCAGGAGATAAGATGGACAATTATGTAGTGTCATTGTTAGACCTGGCTTTTACTCTGAAAAAGAAGGTTTATACTGAGAGAGAGATAGGATCTAACTTTCATTTTAAAATAATCATTTTGGCTGCTGTTTTAAGAACTGATGTTGGAGGTGGTGAAAAAAAAAGAGCAGCTTCTCAGGAGGATATTGCAATAATGCAGGCGTAAAGTGAAGATGGCTTGAAGAGGTTTTCCACATCAGCATCTGGAAGAAAGTATTTGCCATTGTTAACGAGATCGCGCATGTTCATGATGATATGGCCGTAGAGAGTATTTACCATTACTGAGAAGGAGACTTCAAAATTTTATTAGAAGAGGGAAGTATGAGGGAGATCAAATGTGGACATGCTACATTTGAGATGCCTTTTAGATATCCAAGCAAATATTTGGAGTAGGCATTTAAATGTGGAAATATAAATTACAAAATCATCCGTGTGTAGACATGAGACCGGATGAGTTCAGTAGGGCAATGGGTATTTTTAAAAGGAAATATCAATGGACTGAGTTTTAGTGCATCCCAAATTTCAAAGGCTGGAGAGTTAAGAAAGATCAAACAAAAAAAAAAAAACCTAACCAGAATCTCATGATAAGAATCAAGAAAACGGCACCCTGGAAATAAACTGGACAATGTGTTTCAAGAAGGAAAGCGATCAGCTAATTTAAGCACCACAGAGGTCAAGTAAGACAAGTACCAAGAATTGACCCGAACTTAGCAACTTTGAGATCAATGATGGTCTGGGTGGAGGATCTCATTTTGAAGTCGTAGGACTGAGAGCCTTTCAGGACTAGATCAAGGAGAGAATTGTGTGAGAGAAACTGGAAACAGTTGGAGAAACTTTAATGTAAAGAAAAAGAGATAAATGGAGCAGGAAATGGAAGGAGACCTTGGATCAAGAGAGGCTTTTTTCCTATTATCTATTATAGCTGTAAATTTATGGGAATTATCTTTTAAAAAGGGGAAAATTGGAAAGTCTCCTGATATGGGAGAAAATGAGGGCAAATGCTAGAATGATACAAGTAGGATCTAGTGAAGAGATGCCTTCCTTGGACAGAGGCCTGGAAAAAATCTTCAGCAGTACCGAGAACAAAATGCATGGAAACATTTCTCCACAGTGGTAGGAAGGATGGTCAAGAGTCAGGAGAGATACAGGTGGAGTGATGATTTTCGTGGTAGCAGTTTATACAAGTACTCTTCTGATTTTTACCATTGTCTTTGTATAATAAGAGCCAAAGTCATTAGGTGAGATGAGAATTGGGCAGGAGATACAGGAAGGAGATAGAGAAGAAATGGAAAACATTTTAGGAACGTGAAAGAGTCAAAGGAGCAGGCAACTATTAAAGCATTGGTGCTGATCACTAACAGACCACTTGAAGTTTATGGTTAGTAATTTACGGTAAAATCTGGCAAGCACAGTTGTGGGTTTTACCATGCGAGGGTGACAAATACGAAGCACAGAATTAGAGTCAATCGGATTGGGGATTTTGTAAGGCTTCTATGATGAAAGAAGTGCATGGCAAGGAAATTGAGATCGGATCTTGGGAAGTGAATATAAACCTGATGAGGATGAGGATCTCTTTTATTTTTTCACTGATGTGACTTGTGCACCTGGGAGAGAGCCAAGCACATATAAGCATGTGATAAATATTTTTGGGGTGAATGAATTAAATCCAATGCCTTGACTCATCAGTTGGGCTTGGAGGTAAATGAAGACAGAATGCAGTTAAGAGAGGAAGTGAATACAGGTAGAATTCACGGCTTGTATATCTCAGAAGCTTAACAGACATTTAAATGTGGGTGGGTGAACTGCTTGCCATTTTTGAGGCTTGTTTTCTTCAAAGGTAAAATTGTAATACATAATTACATGGAATCATGGCAATAACTTATGGAATATGCTCAGCACAGTGGCTTGTATATAAAGAGCCCTCACCACCTCTTCTCAGTCATTGTTATACAGAGGTTGTTTCCATTTTGTTTCCTTAGCTTTAAACTAAAAACTTGCTGGCATCATACATGCCTGGATGTCACTATATATTGTTACCAAGAGATTGATTTCATGACTCAAATAAAAGGCAACTTGTTGAATTGAGAGGTAAGATTAATTAAATGTACTGTCTGGGGACTTCCAGGAAAATTAGAGTTCTTTCAATACACGAAGACTAAACTAGCGTAAAACATTATCTAAAATATTAGCATCATATAGTATATAAAACCTTCTTAGAAGTTTCCCTTTTAGATTATGTATTTTCTCAAAATGTGTCTACAAGCATAATGAACGAGAGCTAAGCATGGCAGCCTAAGGAATCAGCTTTAGTAGAACAGATTAGATTCCGTGTAACTAATACAGATCTCCCTGTAAGATGTGAAGACTGATTAGCATTGTGCAAATACATAAGGGAGCCGTGTTCCTCAGCTTCTCCTGCTCACTTGCCATCTCTCCGTCATTCACTTTTAATTAAAAGATTAGTGGGTAGTTTTGAAAAAGAAAAAAGAAACAAGGGAGGAAGTTCCTATCTCCTTCTATGGTTTCAAGTAGCAGGGTTATTGAAAGAAAGATTTGGATTGAAACACAGATCTCATCTTTTTATACATGTAGCTTTTTTCTTGACCCGTTATTTGAAGTTATAAATCAGGAAGAAACAGGATGACAGGAGCTCTATATTTAGTGCTTTAAGGTAGACAGCAGGTTAGTTTCTTCTGTTTATTTGGGTTCTTTACTTGTATGTTTGCATCTACTGTCAGGCTGTTGATTGCAACTGAGTTAAGTTCATGTTTTGAATCTCTAAGTTAAAGTGGATCAGGTTTGCTCATCCCACTTCTCAGCCATATCTAAATAATCTTCAATAATATTTTGATTTCCTTTATTCACATTTACCAACTACTGAATTTAATTGAATAGATAAGTAAAAGGTACCTTGGTTCTCAGGCCAGGAATGTAGAAAAATTTTACAGTGACTTAGAAAAACCACTGAACAATAAGACACGGGACTTGGGTCCTTATTGTGGTTCTGCAGCTGACACGTTGGGGTCTTGTTTTCTTATGCTTTAAATGAGAAGTCAGTCTTGAAGGTCTCCAATGGTCTTTATTCTGCAGGAGTTACACGAATGTGGATTGATTACTGGAGTTGACCTAAGAATGTTTACAGGTGTGCAATATGTTCTGATGAGAGTGGAATTAGAAAGGCTAAGGCCAAATGTGGGTACATGTGTGTGTGTTTATATTTGAGAAATAGGCAAACAAGTGGCATAAACTACATTGCAATCAGAAGGCATTGCTGGGAAATGTAAGAATCATGTTTATCATATGAGGCAACTCAGGAAAGTGAAAAAGAATGTGTTTTCCCCTGGGGAATAAGGCTGAGATGATTCCACTAGTGGACCCTGCTCTTGCCTTTCTCTCCTGTACTTCACATTGGCAGAGCCTTTGAAGACAAAGGCAAGAAGGAGACATTTCTCAGCCACTCCACAAAGACAGTAATGTCAAGTCATACAAAAGGAAAATAATTTAGTGGGAATCACACACATTTTCAATTCCTCTTTGATTTGTGTAGTAAGCGGGAATGAGTTTTGAGTATACTTAATTGAAGAAGCCACTTCCAGAATCCCTTTTAAGAATAATGCCCACATTATTATTTTCCATAAATGGATATGAAAATAATTAGTATATGTTGAATTTGATAATTCCTATATTAGGTATTTATTTATTTGGATACAGGATCTCGCTCTGTCTCCTAGGCTGGGGTGCAGTGTCACTATCATAACTTTTTTTGTTTTGTTATTTTTAGTAGAGATGAGGTCTCACTATGTTTCCCAAGCTGGTCTCTAACTCCGGAGCTCAAGTGATCCCCCTGCCTGGGCCTCCCAAAATGTTTGTATTATAGGCATAAGTGCCATACCTGGCCCATAATTCTTATCTTACAGAAGGCAGAATAATAATGATTTACAAGGATCATTGTCAAGTATATTTTAATGTCATCAACATTATTAGATGTTAAATAACAGAACACATAGACCACATGTATGTAATGCTTTGCACAAAGGCAAAATGTGTCTCTTTTTTAGGGAGAGAGGGACATAACAGTGTGTGTGGCCAGGCAGCCTCCTTCCATACAGTCTTCCAGGCTGACTGAGGCACTGGCATCACTCAAATCTTCAATATTCCTCAGACATCTGGTTATCCTGGAACCTGTGAACTAGAAGTAGAAAGAGCATGAGGAACATTTGCAGGACTTTTTTGTCCTGCAAATTTTATATATTAAAGTGTGCAACATTAGTGTTTTGATATACATATACATAGTTAAAACTACTACTGTCAAGCCAGTTAACATATCGATCATCTCATATTGTTAACTCTTTTGTGTGTGGCTAGGAGCATTTAAACTTTACTCTCTTAGCATACACTATTACCAGGTAGAGTCCTCATGCTGTACATTAGATCCTAAATACAGTTATCCTAAGTAATTGCAATTTTATACCCTTTGCCCTGTATCTTCTTATCTCCAACCCTTTGTCTCTGGTCTGCTGTTCCTATTGTCTGTATCTGTTTATTGAACATATTTTTAGATTCCACACATGAGAGAGATCATGCAGTATTTTTTTGTGTGTGCCTGGTTTATTTCACATAGCATAATGTTCTCCAGGTTATCCATGTTGTCTCAAATGGTAGGATCACCTTCTTTTTTTTAAAGGATGAATAATATTCCATTATATGATGTGCATATGTATATGTATCATGATATCTTTATCTGGCCATTCATATACAGATACTTAAGTTGTTTCTATATCTTGGCTATCAGGAATAATGCTACAGTGAACATACGAGTGCAGATATCTTTATGATGTACCGATTTCATGTCCTTTGGGTATATGCCCAGTAGAAGGATTGCTGGATCATATAGTAGTCCTATTTTTAATTTTAAAATATTAATTTCTTATTTTGAGATGGAGTCTTGCTCTCACCCAGGCTGGAGTACCCTAGCGTGATCTTGGCTCACTACAACCCCAGCCTCCCGGGTTCAAGCGATTTTCATGCCTCAGCCTCCCAAGTAGCTGGGATTACAGGCAAGCACCACCATGCCTTGACAAATTTTGTATTTTTAGTAGAGATGGGGTTTCACCATGTTGGCCAGGTTGGTCTTGAATTCCTGGGCTCAAGTGATCCCCTCACCTTGGCCTCCCAGAGTGTGGGGATTACAGGCATGAGGCACCCGCGCCCGGCTCTCTATTTAAAGAAAAAAAATTTTTTATTATACTTTACGTTCTAGGGTACATGTGCACAATGTGCAGGTTTGTTACATATGTATACATGTGCCATGTTGGTGTGCTGCACCCATTAACTCATCATTTACATTAGGTATATCTCCTAATGCTATTCCTCGCCCCTCCCCCGACCCCACAACAGGTCCCCGTGTGTAATATTCCCCTTCCTGTGTCCAAGTGATCTCATTGTTCAATTCCCACCTATGAGTGAGAACATGCGGTGTTTTGTTTTCTGTTCTTGTGATAGTTTGCTGGGAATGATGGTTTCCAGCTGCATCCATGTCCCTACAAAGGACATCAACTCATCCTTTTTTATGGCTACATAGTATTCCATGGTGTATATGTGCCACGTTTTCTTAATCCAGTCTGTCATTGATGGTCATTTGGGTTGGTTCCAAGTCCTTGCTATTGTGAATAGTGCCACTATAAACATATGTGTGCATGTGTCTTTATAGCAGCATGATTTATAATCCTTTGGGTATATACCCAGTAATGGGATGGCTGGGTCAAATGGTATTTCTAGTTCTAGATCCTTGAGAAATCGCCACACTGTCGTCCACAATGGTTGAACTAGTTTACAGTCCTCCCAACAGTGTAAAAGTGTTCCTATTTCTCCACATGCTCTCCAGCACCTGTTGTTTCCTGACTTTTTTGAGAAACCTCCATCCTTCTTTCCATTATGGCTGTACCAATTTACATTCCCACCAACAATACACAAGGGTTTCCTGAGAAAACCTTTTTTTTAATAAAGATAATGGGCTTTACTTGAAAAGAATAGAAGGATCTATTAGCAAGAAATTGTATAAAATCCAAATTCCTAAAACATCTACAGGTCATATATATAACTTTCTTTGTAATTAGTGATTAAAGACCCTAGAATTTCATTTCAATTTTACTAAGACACTAATCTGAGAAACTGTGATACTCTCGTAAGAGCTTCTGGGAATTAGCTCAAGGCCTATGCACACAATCCACCAAGCTTCTACATCTTCACCTGATTTTGTGGCACTTCGTTATGTCTTGTCCATATTTTAGGGAGAAAATTACATGCTTTGTGAATTTAAGATTTTATAGAGGTCTCAGGATTCCTTCTGAATGCCCAAAACCTACAGTATTACAGGTTTTGATATTTGAGGTAGTTTTATGAATAGCAATATATTTAACCTTTTTGGAGGGGAGGTGGGGATAGAGTTTTGCTCCTATTGGCCAGGCTGGGGTGCAGTGGCGCGATCTTGGCTCACTGCAACCTCTGCCTAATGAGTTCAAGTGATTCTGCTGCCTCAGCCTCCCCAGTAGCTGGGATTACAGGCACCTGCCACCATGCCCAGCTAAGTTTTTGTGTTTTTAGTAGAGACCGGGTTTCATCACGTTGGCCAGGCTGGTCTTGAACACCTGACCTCAGGTGATCCATTCACTTTGGCCTCCCAAAGTGCAGAGATTACAGACGTGAGCCACTGTGCCTGACTGATATATTTAATGTTGAATGGAATTGAAACTATAGAAAAAATATGTCGCTGAGAGTATATTGCTAAACATTTTTACAAAGGGGTATGGGCAGTGAAAAAGAGGCACCATGAGAAAACAGCGTGTTAACTTGAGTCCCGGAGTCTGAAGCTGTAGTGCACTATGATTGCATCTGTGTGTGTGTGTGTGTGTGCGTGTGTGTGTGTGTTGTTTAGAACTATATATCTTACATAGCATCTGTAGTGTCAAATTATATCTTTATTAAGTAGACTTAGATGTGGTGGATACACAAGTCCCACTAAACTTTATAATACAGTTTCTTAGGTTTGCAAAATATACTCACTGTTTTCTATTGTCTACGAAATACACTGTACTAACTGCACTCCTGTTTATGGTACCAAAATATCTAAAGGATTTAACTTAAGACACAAATCAAACATATCTGGGGAAGAAAACAAATTTCTATCCATATAAAATGCTCAGGATAGTGTTGTTTCATTTTTAAATACAGATTCCAGAAAGGATTTTAAAGAGGAAATTGAAGTCAACATTTTCTACAGTGACCTGCACAGTTACTGACCCACTTGACTGAGCTACTGGGCACTCACCACCTAACTTAGGTCTTGGCCCCTCGTTTCCTACTGTCTTGTTTCTTCTCTCCTAGTTACTGGTTTATTTTACTCAGATCTTCAGGCTCAGCTGCTATCTTCTCAGGCATACAGTTTTTTCAATTCATACAATAGTTAAATCAAGATATAACAGTCTATCTTTGACCTTATGCCTCCATGTTTTTGTAATTTGGCTTCTGTCCCGTCTGAAACCACTTTAAGCACTGTGGCTTACTTTTACTTCCACCTGGTGCCTCGACGGTAGCAACCCTCCAGACAACCTGCCACTGCCGTCACCCGGCTGGAGCAGGGAGATGCGGTGGGGGCTGTATGCTCTGTGGAGCCAGGGGACCGGGGACAAGCTGGAGCCCCGCCCCTTCTGAATTGGAGTGGGAGCACCCAGGGTGCTGCCGCAGCCACCCAAACCACGACTGCATACCCAGCCTTGCTCCGTGGAGCAGGCAGGAGTCCTGCCCCACTCCCAGGCACAGCTGCAGCTGCCCAAACAGCAGCTGCAGACTCAGGCATCCTTACACTCTTGGGGGCCTGGGAAGGCCTCCCTGTCCTCTTGCCAAGGAAGTCCCCTCTGTCCTCGTAGGCACCAGAGTGTCTGTTCTTGATGCCTGGCTTCTCCCTTTTTTCGTGCCAGCAGATAGGAGCAGTCAGGCAGCCTGGGTACCTTGAACAGCAGTAGGAGGATGACAGAAGGAGGCAGGCCCCCAGTGAAGCCCCGCCTTTAGGCCGGGGAAGGACTGAAGCCTGGGGGCCTGCTGCTAGTTCTGAGGGGGATCTCGTGGTGCTTTTACGTGGGCCTGCCCATGGCTGCGCATGCAACAATCAGCATACCTTTCCTCTCTCTGAGGCCCGCAGAATCCCAGGCCTCAGCCAGAACAGAGCAGAGAAGCAGATATCAGCTGCAGAGAGGAACGAGGAGCTACTCTCTGCTGATAACTGGAGAATGTTGGGACCACCAGCAGCAGAGAGGAGCTTCCACTCCAGGGAGACCTGTCTGCACAGGGGAGCGACCTAACCCAGGGCCTTCTACACTCTGCTGAGGGCTGAACACTTGTCCAAACACCCTGGCTACAGAAAAGAGCTATCCAAAGCAGGTCTCTGAGCTGTTCTACTGCTCAATAAAGCTCTTCTTCCTCTTGCTCATCCTCCACTTGTCTATGTGCCTCATTCTTTCTGGTTGCAGGACAAGAACTCGGGGCCTGCCGAATGGCAAGTCTAGAAGAGCTGTACCACAAACAGGACTGAAACATGCCCTTTGCTCACCTCGTTGTGGGTGAAGAGAGGCAGAGAAGAGCTGCAGCCCTTGTAGGAGCCCAGACACGGGAACTCCCTGAGCCAGGGCTGTTAGTCCCTCTTTGAGGCCCTGCGGTTCCTGGCATCTCAGAGCTTCTGGGTACCACCACATTCCCCAGTGCCAGCTGCTTGTGGGGTGCCTGTCCAGCTGCAGCCTTGCAGAGAGCTGGCACCTGTGCCAACACCTGGTGCTGCCTGCATTGCAGTAGCTGACGGGTCTGACTGCATAGAGGCTGGACCTCACACTTGCTGACACACCCCTCACCACTCCATGCCTAACTCACCCTTGGGAGGCATGGGATACAGGCTAGTAGCTTGAGCCAAGCACCGCCTGCCAGGCCGAGTGGGTGGAACAAGCCCAGCGGGCCGAGCAAAACTCAGTAAAAGGCACCACTGGACAGAGGTTTCAGGCCAGAAAAGCGACACTGCAAGTATCCCATAACATCACTGTGCCTGAAATCCTAACTTTGTTGTCTGACTTAGTTTTCCTTGGCCAATCCCCCTACTTGAGACTAGACACATGTCCCCCATCTGTAATAGTGCTGGACCTCAGCTCCAGCTAGGTGTACGTTTCCTGAAGACTTCTGTGTGTCCATATCTCTATTCTATCAGTCCTAGAGCCGCTGAGGGGTTCTGATTGTTTTACAAACTGAAAAATTAAGCCAAACATAATATCTAAGAACTTCTCTCACTCTCTCACAGATTCCAGTATCCTCAAGAAAAATTAAGTTTAGCATAGCTTTTACGTAAGCAAGCAAGCTATCGAGATCCCCATACAATAGTAACATGCTTCAAAACACTTGTGTGTGTGTAGTTGTGTGTGTTTGTGTGTGAAAAAGTAAAAGACCAGCATAAAATTGTGTAAGGTGATTGAAGAAAGAACACACTGATGTTCCTTTAAGTATCTTGTGTATATACACAAGATATAGAGAAAAGAGAGGGGTAGAAGCATTATGGCATTTTTCAAAGAACTAGATATTAGTTTCTTTGAAATTTGTATTATATTTTACTCTGGTCTCTTGTCTAGAATACATTCAAATGCACATGTTTGCTGCTGCTAGAAGTTTGCCTATGAAATTCAGATCTATAGATACCCTGGAAAAAATTATAATGCTGCTTTTCAAATCTCACACAAAAAAACCATGATTACATAATTGAGTTTCGGATCCTGCAGGCCCCTGAACTCTGTTTGTGAAATGTTATTATGAAATGTTATTTCTTTATACTACGGTTTTCTCATTAGTCCTGTCCTAGTAGTCTCATTTTATGTAAGTTGACTGATGAGATACAATAACACTCTGTAAGGATACATTGCCTTAATTTTAGTCTCAGATTATTTTGATTTGCATAATGAATTTTCTTTATGTATTACCAGGTATTATGGTTAATTTTATGTGTGCATTTGGTTAGGCATCAGTACCCACATATTTGGTCAAACATGATTCTGCATGTATTATGAAGATATTTTTTAGATAAGATTAACATTTAAAACAGCTGAGTTTGAGCAATTACATTCCATTACATTCCAAAGCAGATTATGTTCCATTATGTTGGTAGGCCTCATCCAATTAGTTGAAGGCCTTAATAGAAAACTGCCTTCAAATTCAAACTGCAGCATCTACTCTTACCTGGGCCTTCAGCCCGCTAGCCTATACTTCAGATTTTGGAATTGCCAGCTCCCACAATTTTGTAATCTAATTCCTTAAAATCTCTCTCTCTTTCTCTCCAAATTTATCAATAGGCTGTATGTGCCTATATATATACACATACACATATGTATATATGTATATATATATCTGTGTATATGTAAACACATGTATATACATACACATCTGTGTGTGTGTATATATGTGTGTGTGTGTGTGTGTGTGTGTTTACATGTTTCTGTTTCTCTGGATGTTAATACACCAGTCAAAATTTTGTTAGCTGCATTATAAGTATAAATGGTACGAAATGCCTCTTCTAGGCAAAATTATTGTCACTCAATGACTGTACTTTCTTCAATTTTTTATAAGCACATTGAATTCTTATATATTTTTGGAGAATGAGGCTATATTTTCTTTGTATTCATTAGCAGGTTAGTGTGAATTAATTTGTCATATCACTTTGATTCAAATGTTGGCCAGGAGAATTGGTTAAATTACTACTAAGTGGTTAGAAGAAACTGGATATACAAAATGATTCCTTAGGAAAAAGAGGATCTCATATAAATGTTTTACTCAGGTAATGGATTAGGATCAGGTTCAGATTAGGGATGGGAAGAAAAGACAGATTCCCTGTGTGCTCAAGGAAGCCACAGTGGAGAATTAAACCAACAAGCAAATAAAACCTTGACCAAAACTTTAGGAGAAAGGGGGAGTGTTAGATAGGCTTGGTGTAGTAACCCACAATCTAGAATAGTGTCTCCTGAGAAAGTCATAAACATAATTAAACAAAAAAGTATTTCCATGGGAGGCAATTGTGGTATAGTAAAAGGTAGTATTGACCCCAAAGTCCAAATGTGAGTTATAATTCAGAAAACTTAGGCAAGTTTATTTATTTACTCCAAGTCATAGTTTACTCATGTTTCATGCTAATATTAAGACCCCAAGATTTTAAGAAAACATCATGTAAAATATTCATTAGTTCTAAAATCTTGCTGTGAAACAGGCTTTGAAAAAGTATGTGGAGTTCCTTAAAAGTGTAGTCTGCTGGACTCCACCTCCGAAATACTGGTTTAGGATCTCTGAGCACTGGTACCTCTAAACTATCTCTGGAAAACTGTCTTCAGCTAATACTGATCTAGTTGTTGAATGTATATGCCTTTGAAATTGAGCACTGAAATGTCTTGTTCACTAAATGGCCTAGAGATGATTCTCCATGAAAAGATGATTCTGAATGGGTGATATGAATGAATGGGTCTTCATGCCTTCCTGTTTCTCTTGCCATCATATGGCAAGTTTCCACTACATGAAGGATTTTATGTGTGACACTATGTGAGATACAAACCCAATATATAGCAAGAGACTGCTTTCAAAAGGGTACTATTTTTTAGTAAGGCAATATAAATTCACAAATACCTATAAAACACGATGAAATACAGAAAATTGCATAATAGACACACATGGCTGATTTCTAAGTTACAGGGATAGATACCAAGGAATGAAAAAGAAATGTCAATTTCCATGAATGTTTAAAAATATGTGCAGCATGTAAACTGAGAGGATTCTGTCAGTTGAAGAAGGATGAGATTCATAAATTTGGAAAGGAGAGATTGGTTTCTTATAAAGGGTTGCAGCCTGCCTGGTGGCTATTCTTTTTCTTTTTTTCTTTTGACGCAGGGTCTCACTGTATTGTGCAGGCTGGAGTGTAGTTGCACCCTCATGGCTCACTGCAGCCTCAATCTCCCAGGCCCAGGGAGTCCTCCCACTTCAGCCTCCTGAGTATCTGGGACAACAGGAATGCACCACCATGCCTGGTTACATTTTAAATTTGTGTAGAGATGGGGGGTCTCACTATGTTGTCCAGGCTGGTCTTGAACTCCTAGGCTCAAGTGATCCTCCTTTATCAGCCTCTCAAAAGGCTGGGCTGGAATTATAAGAAGATACATTCCTTCTTGTATCAGTAGGGAAAGAGTATTAAGAGCAACATTTCCAGAGAATACTTTCGTTTTAGGTAATAGGAAAAAGGTAATGATGAATGTGGAGATATTTTTATTTGTAGGTAAGATCGTGAAGAGCTTAGAGTTTTTTATAGAGAAGCTGTAGTCTATAGACTGTGAAGTGGAAGAAATTTTACATAGGGCAATATCACAAAGTTGATTATTTTTTCATAATTTAGTTTTGTTTTCTTAAATAACAATATGGGTATATCTCATACTTTAACAGTCTTTCATATATACAAAGTATAAGATTTGTAGTTTTCTTGGTAAATATATAAGTGATTGAAAGAAGTGATTGTATGGACTATTAAGAGAGGATTCATTCCTACCTTAGTAATAATTTCTATGTAAGATACAGAAGTAAACACTTTTTATTTATTTTATTGATTCATATTCTGAAAAAGTTTCCTGTAGAAAGAGTGAAAGTGAATCTACTATACCAACCTTCAAATTAATAAGATATTTTGCATTTTCTAAATTCCTTGTAGATAGTTAAAAAGATAAGTTTTTCAAAATCAACCTATCCATTATAAGTTGATAAAAACCTAGTCTCATTTGGGTGGTTTTTGCCAGAATATTCACAGCCCAAATAATATTTCAGTGAAGAAAATTCACATTTATTAATGCTGAATTCAATCAAGATAAAAGTTAGATGTAAATATCCTATGTTTTACGGAGTATGAAAATTTGCTGTAATAAATATTCAGTGGATGAACATCTAATACCTTTTACCCAAGTATAATTATATTTTGACCTCAGAATAAATTAAATAATACAGTCTTTTCCAGCCTCTCCACAGTTGCCAAAGTGTAGGAAAGGATAAGATTATGGCATGAAATAATTCACGTGAAGCAGTTCATTTGGAAATCCATACTGAGCTTCTATAATATATGTACTTCCAATAATTGAGAACAATTCTTAGAGCATGATAGCATTGTGTGGGCTTTTAGCCTTCATTTAACTTTTCTACTTCATTTAACTAGTATTGCTAGAAAATACTTTTACAATCTTTGGCTAATTAATAGTCTCAAAAAGATAATGATGGATTCCACTGGATATTCTAAATCATTTTCTGCTTATTCTCTGCCTATATCAAGTCCCCAGCAACAAAAACAGCCATGCAACACCCCCTGCATATTAAATTATCATTCATGTTAGGAATTGAATAGATCTAGTAAATGATTAATATGTGCTAACCAACTTACCATTTTAGGGCAATATTTGCACATGGCTAAACAAATAGATCTTTGCAGAAGATAATGAGATACGTGTCTGTTCTTTGCTTTCTTCATTGATTTGGATCACTGTACAATCATTAAGCCGAAGTCTATCTTAAAGAGGAGAGAGGGCTGCTGGCAGGAAGCCACTTTGGCAGGCTCTTCTATGTTGTGGTCTGTTTGGTTCATCCACAGAGACATGGATTAAGATAGAATTATAGGAAATCCTATTGAGTAAAGGCCTACTGGATGAGAAAAGGGAAAATTAATTTAAGCCTCTCTACTCCTTCAACATAACCTTTTAAAATACTAGGTTACAGCGTGTTCATTTCACTTGTAATTCTGATGTAAGATACTAATGGAAATGACATTTGAAAAGGGACTGATATGTGTATAAACTGTCACTGGCAGGTCCTAAAAGTACCTCTTCATGTGGGCATTCAGTTTGATGACATTTTCCAGGTTATGAGCATAGATTAGAAGTTATGAAATTCAAAGCTTATAAAGGTGTGTTCAATCTCTATCTCTTAGAGGGTAAAGAGTTCTGAAATCTTGATTTATGGAATAAAATATTAACCCAGGACATTGTTAGGGCTATCATCATTTTTTGTTTATTGTTTGAATCTGAGGATAGAGGCTTAAAAACATCTTTGTTTTTTCTTAGCCTGTATAAAATCCATTGCAATGCAGCCTTGGAATTGGATTCCTTTAGCTCATGTACCCTGCATCTTGGTCAGTCATAGATGAGGGGCCATCTGACTTAATATTAATACTAATACAATGCATATGTGAGAGTACAGAATTTCCAAAGCTCTTCCATCTATATCAACTATTTTCTCCTCTCACACAGTTCTATAACTGGTCTCATTTGGCAGTTAAGTTGACAGGGGATGAGAGATTTAAGCGACTTCTACAACACTATAGAGTCAGAGATGGAGCTAGGAGATGCATTAAGGCCTTTGAAATATACTCTTACACATATGTTTCCTAGTAGTGTCAGCTGTTGACAATCAAATGTGTGTGTAGTTTATATTGTTCTCAGAAATTCTTAAAAAAAGAAAAAGAGAAAAGAAAAAGGAGGAAAAAAAAGAGAAGAATAGAAAAGAAAGAAACAACTTTCGGAGTTTTGGCAGAAATATTTCTAGTGCCCTAAAATGAAGAGAAGGCCCCCGATTCCAAGGGCACAGATGTGTGGCAGGCAGTGAAGTGGCCACTAGCCATACAGCCAAATCCCCATCCAGGGAATGCTCGGCGCTGGTGCTAGGGGAATAGAGTGGGGGAGGGGCAATAAATGACCAGTGTGCCCAATAAAACGAAAAGGCCAAAATGTTGCTTGGTCAGCTTAGCTTACTATTTTAACCAAACGTTTGGAAGCCATAGCTAATGAAGGTATCCCAAAAACGTTTGAATTGTTGCTGCATGCAATAGCCTGGAAAATGAGAATGGAAAGACAAACAGAAGGATTGATACTGTGGGTCTATGTGTCCTTCGTGCTGCAATGAGAATAACTCAACTCACTGGAAACTTCCAGGGAAGATGGTAACTTTTCAGGAGCAATTGTTTTGGGATTCTTTTCCCAAGTGTTTTCATATTTTAACAGGTCTAACAATTTTAGTCATGAATGAGAAATCAAGCAACAGAAATCTAGTGTAGAAAAATCACAATTCATATTTTTAAAGACTTAATATGTCCTCTATTGGCTTAGTAGTAGCTTGTGTCTAATTAACTCAAAATGACTTTAGACTTGGCCATGAAAAAAACTTGTTACCTTTTCCACCTACTGCACATTGCTAATTCATTTCTCTTTCTCTTTTCTTTATTGATGTTTATGGTTGGGGAGGTTAAGGGCAGGAGGGGAAGAAAGCCTGCAATGTAAACGTTATAGTCTGTAACATGAAAGGTACATTTCATGTGCTTTATTCATGATAAAAAGAACAAATGAAAAGAACAAGTTTTCATTTGTCATGAATAAAGCCATACATTTATCATGAATAAAGCACATAAAATGTAAAAAATTAAATCCATTTTTTGTAATGAAGCATTGTTAAATGCCATGAATAGTTGAGAATGTTCAAGTCATTAATAACAAAACATATCTTCAGTTGGTGTATTAGGCTGTTCTTGCATTGCTATAAATACATAACTGAGACTGAGTAATTTATAAGGAAAAGAGGTTGAATTGGCTCATGGTTCTGCAGGCTGTATAGGAAGCGCAGTGGCTTCTGCTTCTGGGGAAGCCTCAGGAAGCTTCTAATCACAATGGAAGGCAAATAGGGAGCAAGCACATTACATGGTGAGAACAGGAGCAAGAGAGAGAGGTAGTGGGGGTGGGGGTGGGGGAGAGGTGCCACATACTTCTAAACAACCGGATCTCACAAGAACTCGTTCACTATCACAAGGACACCACCAAGGGGATGGTGATAAAACATTTATGAGAAATCCATCCCCATGATCCAAACACCTCCAACCAGGCTCCACCTCCAACAATGGTGACTAAAATTAGACATGAGATTTGGGCAGATCCAAGTCATATCAGTTGGCAACAGTGTTTGCAATATATCTGTGTATATATGCCTGTCATCTATATATCTATATATCTATGTATCTATCTCTTTATTTATATGTGTAGATTGCTATATCTACCTATTTTTCTGTCTAATGGGTGGTTACAATGGATATTATCCATTATTCTCACTATCATGCAAAAACTAGATTTTTTGCATATATTTTATACAGAAATACTAGAATATCATCTGCTAGATTTGCTGAATTTGTAGGTACTGTTTTCCATGTATGCCTAACAGGAAGTGGAAAGAAGTGGATACTTTCTACTTCTTAATCCACCCCTGGTAGAAGGATGATGTGAGAGAATGCTTTGTGGACCACAGTGAGAGGATGCTTTGGAGAACTAACTGTGGGTCCCCGGGGCCCAGGAAGTAGAAACCAGTGTCTATCTATTCAAGTGTCGGAATAGAACTTACACTTCTGGCAGGACATAGGCTCGGGAGTACACAAAAGAAAAGGCAGAGCCTTCACTATGAACCCAACTCAAGGCGGCCACTAGGTGGGACTAAGCAAGTCCAAGTGGGGGGCTGCACGTTGATATGCACGTGGAGCAGAGGCTGAGTGGCAGGATGTTTGCTGCGGAGGGAATGCCTCAGAAAACTGCAGTACGGCAATGCTCAGAGGAGAGGTTGCCAAGGAGCCTGAAAGGCACCGCCAGGAGATAGTCAGCAAGAGGAACTGACCCCCAAGAGAAGTGACATTTGACGGCTCCTGTGTCAATGTACAAGTGAGGTAGGATGTGCCCCTTTCCCTCCCAACCCACCTCTCCTGCAGCTCATTGAGTGGGTAAGAAACAGAAAAGAAATGAGGGAAAAAAAAGTAACAAACATGCAAACACACACACACAACACACAACACACACACACACAAACAGCCCAGGCCTGCTGTCCCAAGTAGTGGCTAAGGCTGGAACTTGTAAGTGCATTTCTGCGTGTGTGTGTGTATGTGTATGTGTGTGGGTTTGTATGTAGAATGTGTGTGTGTATGTAGAATCTTTGAAATGGATGTAAGATTAAAAGTTAGATTTGAAGTTTGACTTTGACTAACTTCAATGCCCATTTGAGAAAATTCGGCAAAAATTACCAAATATAAAATTTATGTTGTGACACATACATATCACTTGCTTATGAATAAGCCATCTAGATATCTATGCTTATTTGTGCTCTGAATATATATTATAAGAAATATTATAATGTGTGCATAAAACAAATTTTCATACAATAAAATTGTGCGGCTTTTTTTGTAACTTGTTGATATTTTTGATTAATACTTGCCCATAAATGTCTACATTTAAAATGTAGTGAGGATTTTCCAATTGCATTACTTTTTTTAAATTGCTAAAAACCCATTTTGTGAAATTTGCTATGTAATTATCAAAGAATTTTTCTTCAAAATGAGATTTGGGCAGATCCAAGGCATATCAGTTGGCAACAGTGTTTGGAATATATCTGTGTATATGACTTTTAAACTGACTTTTAAACAATTTTTGCTGCTTGGCATTTGTACTTTCATAATAAATATAAGTTTTAAACAAATCTCTCATCTATGCCATTTCCAGTTTGAAATATTTCCCACTATATTAAATATGATTTTTATGTTTCTTAAATATAATGTTTAGTGGTTTTATCCTTCGATCATAATGGCTATTAGATTTTTTAAAGGTAGAATAATAATTTTTAAATCATTTTTCACTAAACTAAACTAATGAGCAACTAGGATGTGAGTTTTAGAGCTAGCTGGATAATGGACATGACTAATCAGGGAAGACAAAAGAAAATGAAAGTCTTCAAAATATACACACAATCTCCTCACCATTATGCAACTATTCATCCAATGAATCATGAGGCAAGAGTTATTCCAGAAATGAGGGAAAAAATATATGTCAAGACCATTACCTACAGTCAAAGCTTTTATTTTCCTCATTAACCAAAGTTTGTTTGAATTCAAAGCTCACTCATTTATTAATCATTATTTCCTGGGGAGAAATATGGAATGAATTTGATTTTCATCTACATTTGATTGATGTTTCCTAGTAAAACCATATTTTGCTAAATTCAAAATGTATCATGTGAAACTTCTTTGTTTTCTTTGCTCCTCTTTATCTAACTCAATGATGTCATTAATGTATTTTACAACTTAATTTTTTATAGAGGTAAACATATGCCAAAGGAGCATGTATGCAAGTACCCGAGGTAAAGAGGATCTATATTATAACTGCTTGCACCTTATTTTCAGTCTGAGTGGTTCAGATTCCTTTGTCTACTGACAGGATGTGGACAGTACCTCCAAGATTTCATTTCAGGCAATGTGTCTACTCTCTGAGAAACAGGACAGCTTGAAGCGCTACACTAGAAGCAGGCAGAAGTGCTATTACACAGGCACTGGCTGCTGATTGCCAAGAATCGCCAGGGGTAGGGGATGAGACATGTGGAATTGATGGGTGGTGAGAGATTATTGCTGTTCTGCAAAGCAAGATGTCAAAAGATATTCCTAGCTGTTTGCCAGATGACAGGCCCGTTGGGGATATTTTGTGTGAAATGATTATTCTCAGTCACATTCAGACCTTTAAGCAATGATGTCAGCATTATCCTAGAGATTAAGGAAAAAAAAAGAAAGAAAGAAAGAAAAGAAAAGGGCATGCAGAAGCAGACACCCAGTCTGTCTTCTAGAGAGCCATAAAATGTTTTCTTA